GTATATCGCCATTTGTTTACTAATTATAGGCCAAAACAAATTGACGTGGGAAACGAGTAGAGCTTGTAGAGACCTTTCATTTGAGGCTAATCACGAAAGGTCGATCACCATTGCACCAAAAATAAAGTTATAATAGCCTATTTTGATACAAATTTGGTTTTTTATTCCTGCAGCGCCAAATCAGAATTGTAAATAAGGACTGAATTTGGGGCAAAATACTTGTAACTACTAAATAACATGTTTCATTTAAGCTATTAGAACGGCCCTGGTACATATTATAATAAGCCATATTTTATTGCTTAATAACTTTGTTATAAACCACTTACGTGATTAATTTCTTCAGAATCATTTCCCAAAATTCTTGCGAGAAATCTTTTGAAATCTAGCACCACTTTTTTTAAATATCTTTCCTTACGCTTCCCCATTTTTTCTACAACAAATTATAAAAAGTATTATATTTGAAAAAATGTAATACTTTTTATAATTTGTGTAAAGTATTCAATACCTATAGACCAATGGTATTTCCTTTAGTGCGTCTAGGTAATCAGTTTCCAGGAACTCTAAAAATCTTGACAAATAAATAGACGACTAATATAGTCAAGAAAACATATATTATAGTATATTTATTATATAATTTTTATGGCATGACTATGCGTCCGCGTTTTAACGAAGTCTCGACAGAGCAATACTAAAATATGTAGACGTGTACAATGTACATATATCTGCTGTGATGACTAAATATCCTTAGGATCATGTGGACATTGACGGTCGTATGCGCATACGTCTTTGTGGTACGTCTAATCTGCCTCAATATGCAATAATATTGCTGTTACCTGTTCTATACGTTCATATGGCGTTATTATTATTTAAGACTCTCCAGCTTACGACAGTTGATATTTTGCAATTTATTCAAAAAGTATTATATATATATAAACTATTTGTTTATATATATATATATATATATATATATATATATATATATATATATATATATATATAAACAAAAATTCTAATTAAAAATATTACAAAATAAATTAAATCAGAAAATTGAAAAAAAAAATGAATTACTTTACGCCGTCTGCAGGAAAATATATTCAAATTCGGAGTTACATAAAATATATGGCGAAATTGGGACGCTTTTTAAAAAAATCATAACTAAATCACGAAGCCAAATATAAACAATGTAAAAAGGACGAATTGTAGTGCATACGTTGTAGATTAATATGAATTCCATGTTTTGAAATAATTAAACTAATTTCGATAAAAATTTACTAAACGGCAACATACCATTTTTAGGATTTTGTCTAAATTTATGAATTTTTAAAACAGAAACTAAAGATATTTATTTATTTTTGCTTCGGAATAAAGGTAAATACATTCTTAGTGATGTTTAATGAATAATTTTTATATTAATTATTGTAACCATAAAGGATAATTTCACTTAACAGTGACTATCGTTTTGAAGTATTTTGCTCGATGGGCTCTTAAGCGATAGAAAGAAATACTATAATTCTTCTAAGTTTCTTCCGTGAATTGTTTTTAGAGCTTATTACTGCATATACCAGCGTCATATAGCAGCTTATTTATAATAATAAATTCTTAACAGAACTTATTATTATGTCAAACATACGTTTAGTATGTTTTTTTTATATTTTACATAGTTACCTTTTAAATTATCCAAATAAAAATATCATTAAAATCTAATTATAATATTTTATTGCAGTATTTTATTCTTATTGGAAAACTTACAGCTAACATCAACAGTAAATAAATTAATAACAACTAGAAGGCCATTTAAAAGTTTTCACCTATAGACAATATGAACTTAAAAACAATAATTCTAGTCGGTAAAAGATAAACATCGATTAAGAGAAATAGAATAAATTAACTAAATTAAACAGAAAAACGCTCAACAAAAGAATTTTTTCGCTAAAATATTTTTGATTCGAGAAACACTGGTGCTAAACAGATCCAAGTTAAAGCTATTGGAAATGTTGTTAAAAGTTCTGCACGCACGTTTCATAAAAGAATTTTGCCTGTATTTATTCCGAGTATGCGGCTCGTGGAGTAAGCGAGGCTTTCTTAATAGGGTATCACTTGTTGTAAAGCATAATTTACTCAGTAGCTCCGGACAGTCAATATTACCATTTGCCAATTTAAAAAGATAAATCATATCTGCTATGAGCTTACGTTCGTGCAGAGGCAAAATATGAAATTTTTTACATCGCGAAATGTAGTTATTAGTGTATAATTGCGTCTTAAGTTGCAGAAAACGTAGAAAACGCTTTTGTACTTGCTCAATCCTATCTATATAAATGTTATAATATGGATTCCACACTTGAGATGCGTACTCTAAATGGCTGCAAACAAGAGCGCACTAAAGTATCTTATATGTTTTAATATTATGAAAATCAGTGGAAAATCTCAAAACGAATCCAAGTGCTCTATTGGCTTTTTTAATGATATTGTCAATATGTGCATCAAAGAGTAATTTAGAATCGAAAAATACACCAAGACCAAGCAACGGACCTAATAGCGATCCCTGCGGTATACCTGAAGGGATTTGCACAGTTGCTGACGTATAACCATTGGGTACTACTGTCTGACAACGATTCTCAATATAAGATTTAAACCACCTAAACAGGTCGCCGCTGATACCTACCTCGAGCAGTTTGCTGAGAAGTATAACGTGATCTAAGCGGTCAAACGCCTTACTATAATCAATGTAGACTACGTCAACTTGTAAGCGCTCAGACATGATGTTATTTAAATATTCAGAACAGACAATAAGGTTCGAAACATTGGATCTACCTTTTAAAAAGCCGTGTTGATAATTACTGAGTGTTTGTTTGATGCCATGATATACAGACGAATATACGATTTTCTCAAAGATTTTGTTGAATAAACAAAGCTTGGATATTAGCCTTATGGATGGGGGTAATAAATGCAGATTTCCAAATAAGAGGTATATTCCTTCCTTAAGAGAACGTCTGTATATTATTGTTAACGGTATACTCAAGCTTTTAGCACACTTATAATATGTGCTAATTTAATATAATATTATGTAATATTATATTAAATTAGCACATATTATACGCAAAATAAACGATAAATTTTGAAAATTGCACTCGATATAATTTACATAATTAACAATACAATCAATTATAACATATTGGTAAATCCTACGTATAATCTATGACAAAAACCAACCGTAAATGTGCGATGACATGAAAAGGGAATTTTGGCGGGAACTTGGCCGTAGATGAATTATTGCATCTTTTTTATGTTAAACGATTATGGTTTGAAGTGGATTTTGATTCGTAAAGTGATGCGATTTTGTGAATTAAGTGTCTGCGCGTGTGATCTATTAGAGAAAGCGATGACACAAGTGCTTTGATGTTGATATTAACCTAAAGTTATTTTGATCGCTTGGTCACCTTATGAACTTGAATGGCTGTCTCCCAAAAACTTCGCAATGTGACGCATCAGCATATTGCGAAAAAAAAATATAAAAATGAAGATTCCGAAAGAAATGATAGGCTCATAAAGGCTAGAACCCAGAGCCGTAAAGACAGTCAAATAAATAAATAAAATGACAAGATAAAGCTAAAGTTAGAAATAGGGATGATCGATGTTACAGAAACATCGATGATGATATCGATGTTGATATCGATAGCTTAACATCGATGTTCGATGTTTATCCTACTTAAAACATCGATGTTGGCCATTATCGATGTTATAGCACATGTATCTATTTAGTAGGTTAAAATTAGATGAACAAAAAATTAGTAGTGTTGTTTACGGTTTATTATTAATGAAATTAAAGAAATTAATAAAACGTTTAGTGTGAAACAGTAATTTTAAAAAAGGGAAAAACTTAATAAATGTTTAGTTAATTTGTTATAGTTTTTGCCGATAATGATGAATATTATTATTTTGATATTTAAATGTTTCTATATAATTATAAATCTGGTATTAAAAAAAATACTATCCTAATATACAATTTAGACGTAGGTTTTATATTAACTACTCCTATCGCGAAACAAAAAAGTGATTATACAGGAAAAATTAACAAACTTAACAAAAACAAAATAATAGACTTTTCCGTCACCTTTGTTCACACAATTTTTAATCAGGCAGCCCAAGCAGTAATTATCCACAGCCGTTTATTAAATGCACTGTAGAATGCACTATAAAGTGAAATTGTCTATGCTCACGATCGCCGAGTAGTTTATTTTTAGAAACTTCAAGCAAACAATAAACTTGTTATCCCAAGCTCAAAAAAATAGCTAAATATAATTAAATTGTGTAGATACATATTGTTTCAAAATTATGTGTGTATAGACAGCAAGGGAAAAAAGAGTTAATTTGAATATCAATTTATATAGAATAGTTATTAGGCGACAATTGACAACGACACCATAATAACAAAGCGAAAGCAGTGACAACTGTGACATTACAGTTCACACTTGACAGGGTATTTGACACAACAGAATGATATTTTTTTAGGTGATCGATGCATTTAAGAATTCAAAATTTTAAACCTTTAGTGGGAGATGAAATATTTAGTTGATATTGATTTCGCGGGTTCGCATTGTTCACAGGTTCTTATTAATCGATTATTGGTTCATTGACATCGATGTTTGACATGTGGCAACATCGATGTTTCGATGTTTAACGTGTGGTAACATCGATGTTAAAACATCGATGTTTTAATTTCTAACATCGATGATCATCGAACATCGATGATCATCGAACATCCCTAGTTAGAAATAACAAGGAAATAACCCGTATAATATTATCTATAAACAAATAAAAATATTCATGGCACTATAGCAGTTAACATTTTTATTACTTTGTTTTTTGTCACAATTAATATTTTAAAAATATTTTATAATAGTCGAAACGATTGGTTTTTCTGTTTACTGTTGTTGTTCTATATCGTGAGTAGGCAGCAAATTAAATATTGAGCCTTTGCTTGTACTGGAAGTGTATAAACTATGGCAGTAGAAGAAGATGATAACACATGGTAAATACATAAATATAAAGTAATAAATCTCATAAAATTATTTAATTTACATTAACTTCTTATCTCCCTGAAATATTTGCATTGCAAGTTAAGATTTGATGTTATTAGTAATGAACTCGATATATGAAACTAAATAATGTTATTATTTCAAGGTTAATTGAATTGGAGTCGGCCCTGTTAGATGGATGTCCACCTCAAGAAATTAATGTTATTACAAAAGGAAAGAGAATACCTGACAGTCTTCGCCCTGATGTTTGGCTTGTGTGCCTTAACTGCCAGGAGGCTGGCAATCAATTACTTCATTTCGATGAAATATTTGATTTACCAAACCAAAATGATCTCCGTGATGATGTAAAAAAATTTGTCAAAAGATTAGATAACGATGATGATGACAAATTGGCTGTTATATCTGATATTGAGTCCATAATAACATTTTATTGTAAATCGAAATCAATTTCATATGCTTCTAATAATGGCTGGATAGAAATATTGTATCCCTTATTGAGTTTGAAGTTACCAAGATCTGATACTTATAACATGTTTGAAAAAGTGATAAAGCTTTACATTCCAAAAGGCTGTATAACAAATGGTGTTCCTTTTCATATTTTACGGTTGGTTTTGCAATATCATGATCCAGAACTATGTTCTTTTTTAGATACAAAACGCATAACACCTGAGCAGTATTGTTTGCCATGGTTGAGATCTCTTTTTGCAGGTACTTGCAATTTAGAGGTAGTGCTTTTTATGTGGGATTTGTATTTCCAAAGGTCAGATCCTTTTTTTATTTTTTTTCTTTGTCTTATTATGATAGTCAATGCTAGAGAGCAGCTCTTACAAATGAAAAATGAGGATAAAGCTATTATAATCAATACATTGACTGGTATGCCAGGTGATTTAGAAGCAAATGATGTGTCTGATTTTTGTTCATTAGCCCATTACTATTCTTTAAAAACACCACAATCATTCCGTGAAGATGTCTTAGAGGTATTGTTTTCAGAAAGTGGATTAGAGATTAATTCAAAACTATATTCTCAAGCGCTTTGTCTTCCTGTGGCTGTTCATGAACTTATAGAAAGTGCAACAGTAGATGCCACAGATGTGGATAGTGTTAAATTCTTTTTGGTGGATTGTAGGCCAGCTGAGCAATATAATGCAGGACATTTATCTACAGCTTTTCATCTTGATTGTAACTTGATGTTGCAAGAACCAAATGCTTTTAATACTGCCGTACAAGGTTTATTGAATGCGCAGCGTCATGCATTAGCAGCTGGCTCTCTTGCTGCTGGTGAACACTTGTGCTTTGTTGGTTCTGGACGAACTGAAGAAGACAGTTATGCTCACATGGTTGTTGCTTCATTTTTAAAGAAGAATACAAAACATGTCTCTATGTTAGATGGTGGATTTGTAGCTATACATGATTATTTCGGCCCTCATATGACTGATTGTTTGGAGGATCACAATGTTTCTACTTGTTTGGTATGTGCCCCTGATAATAATAATTTAAGTACTGAAAACCAAAAACCACTAATACATGATAATATACCTGCTATACAGCTATTTAGTAAATTATCAACAGCAATGAAGGTAAAAAGTCAAGAAGTTAAAGGAAAGTTAATTGAATACATAGTTAATCCTAACGCAACAGTCAACAGTGGGGAATGGCATGTATCTGCAAGTGACAGGAAGGAGCATAGATATAGAAATGTGCCACCTGTGTTCAGCATTAATGATGAAGATGATGATTCACATTCTGATTCACGAAGGGATATTATGAGCTCTGAATCTTTAGAAGAGATTGTTGAATTACAGACATTCCTTAAAAGACAGAATGTTGTTGATTATTTTCAATGTCAAGAGGTTTTACTTAATGGTTACATGCATGATTCTTATTTAGTTGTTACTGACACACATTTAATAATTTTACGCGAAATTCCTAGCAAGCGTGGTTTTGCCACAATATTGTCAAGGAGACCGCTTTCTACAATTGTTAAGATTACTGCAAAAAAGAGACATCCTGAGTTAATAACTTTTAAGTATGGTATACCTGATGGAGACGATCTTTTAATAAAAGATATGGATCGTTTCCTTATACCTAATGCTTCAGTGGCAACTAAAGTTGTATCTAACCAGATTGTGGTGCAATTGGACAATAAAGGTCAATAATTAGCAACTTGTCTGTAATACTTATAGCAACTTGTTATGCAGAGTCATTTGCCTGTACCTTAAAGTTATTTGTTAAGATAATTTGAAGGTCCCAGACCAATAACTGTGTATTAAAAATAAAGAGCATTAGTTATAACTATTTTTTAAACAAATTAGATTATGTAGGTGTTGCTTTAACCTTAACCATTTCACTGTCCCATGAGTCATATACCTTTCAATTGTTTAACTATGTCTTCGTGGACAATGAATTTGTTAATATTGTTTCGGATCTATATACTGCAATAAAATTGAAAAGTTATTTAAAACAAGAGCAATTTAAGTTCCATCCATGCCAGCACCATTGATTTGCCTAAATCAATTTAGGTTACTTATCTGTTGAGGATAAAGGTACTTTGTAGTAAATGAAAGCATCCATAGTAAATTCGTATTTTAACTAATTTAAGACTAATTTGAAAACCTAAGCCTGTCGATTTGTACTAGAAGTAAAACATGACAGAGAATCTTTTCTACTCCATTACCCACGGAAAGGTCTCGGTGCTCAGTGTTAAGATGTATGTAGGCTGATCTTTTATGATACATTACTTCCAAAATGTAAAATAAACGTAATTATTTGTTGATAGTAAGGAAATAAAATGTTTTTTGAACTACCAAATTAAATGTGCTTTGTATATAGTAGAAATTTGTACAATTTTTTATTGAGTAGTTATCAAAGGAATAAAGTATACAAACAGCGAAAGTCGATTAATAGGTATTTTATTTATTATTATTAAAGTTATTTATTCAATGTCATACTTATATTAGGTTGGATATCAAATAAAAATTTCTTGTTACAAGATAAAGCTACTAGATTAAAATAGTCTAAGCCTTAGAATATACAATAATATAAACTTAAGGCTTTAGATAAATGATTAGTTATTCTAAGATTGCAGTGAAATACTATTTATTTTATGCAATTCTAACGGCAAAATTTGAAATGACTTGTATTTTTAAAATGACCATCTCTTAAATTGTTTTTTTTTTTTGTTTCTTATTTCCCTTTAAATGTTTCCGTTGTTGAACTATTCTTTATTTCGTGTTTATTTTTTAATTGAAATTAGCTAAACTAGTAATAATCGCTCTGTATACTATATATACCTGTTTCTTTCTATTGCTATATAGTGAAAAGATAGAGAGCAATTTTAAGTGTTACTTATTATTTTATGGGGAAGGCAGTAAATAATTGCAATTGATATTTTATTGATCTCTGAAAGCTAATTCTTTATTCACTTTTTGCACAAACTATTTGTCGTATCGGTCTGAGTTCTGAGAGTTAAATTTTGTTTGATAGGTATAAATCTATACATATAATAAATCTGTAGAAAAGTCGTGTCTGTAATTCTAATGTTTCCTGGAAAAAACAAGTCCATGGGACTAAATAAAGGATACTGAAGCCAAATTACTGGTTTTTAGAATTTTTGTCTGTCAGTCTGTCTGTCTGTCTGTGTCAAAAACTACTGGACAGATCTCCGTGAAATTTTGTATGCAGACAGTTAGTGAACCGGGGCTACTTATAGACTTCTTTTTATCCGATTACGGAACTTAAAAAGGGGGGTTAAATATTTTAATTTCTTTAGAAATTAATTTTCTGTTTGATTCTGTTAGTTATAAAGTGAGATAACATAGTGTTTTTTTTAAATGAATACAATATTTATCATTAAAGTTTAAAATTTGTTTTCACTGTTATGTAATAATTTGAAACTACGCGAACGATCTGCGTTTCCGAAACAGCGCCATCTGTCATAAAAGTAAAAAGTTTATTTATTATTTAGCCTTCAATTATCTGTTACTTACTAATAAATTAAATAACATAAACAACTTACATTTATATGTTTAAATAATTATATTTACTAAATGATTTGAAACTTCAAGAAGATTTGTTTTAAGTTTTTATTTTAATAGTAATAATTTGAATAGATAATAGTGAAATCTGTGTAAATTCGGATGATTTTTAGTTTAATTACTAATATATAATAATGAACTAATTAACATTGGTTTGCCTGCGATTATTGCAAAACTTTCATTACACTTATACTTTATTTAAAGGTATTTTTGTATACGTCATGGCCAGATCGTAGAATTGATTTTATAATGAATTTTCGATCATTAGATACATGAAATTGTGGCATTTCGTGAAATTTAACACTGTTGACCATAGCATGTTAAGGCTTGACCAAATCGATTATTTACAGTGCTTTTTCATAATATTCTAATTATACCGTAAAATAGTTTCACTTTTCATCGCTAGCGGCGCCGATAGCGCATTTTCTCAACAGAAACAGAATTTTTAACAGAATTATTTATACATATCTCCATATCATACTCGCGAACATTTAAATAATATATTATATAAATGTTCGCGCCCAAGGATTATTCCAGCCGCATATCAATCTACTGTCGCTGATATTACTAGATGGTACTTTCGTATGATATTATGGCGAAACGAGAATCGACTTCGTAGATTCAATTGTAGATTGAGGATAAATTTGACACAGGATACAGGATAATTTGACAAACGTTGACATTTATACGATACTAGCGATTCACCCGGGCTTCGCACGGGGGATATTGGTAATAGCGCCAGCTGGCGGATAGAAAATCTAAACCCACACTAAACCATACAGGAACTCAATTAAATACACACAAAAAATTTCATCAAAATCAATGAGTTTTAGCGAGACTATCAGACAACAATTGATTTTTATATTTATAGATTATTATAACATGCATATATTATATATATAAACCTTCTTGAGTCATACGGTCTATTGATGAAAACCTCATCAAAATTCGTTGCGTAGGTGGGAAGCGACTTTGTTTTATACTATGGAGAGATAGTCAGTAATAATAGGCCATCATGAAATGATTGCGGTATTTGAAGTGGTCCAGCACTTCATGATAATATGATCAATTCTACGATCTGGCCACATTTACATAACTTGAGAGTTTTGGCTTTCATAGTTTTAATCTAAAATTAGCGCCATCTATTTACTGCTAAATAAATTAATAATAACTAACTGATAAGATTTAAAAACTTAAAATGTCCAGCCGTTATCTAACTGTTAGACTGGATACTGTATGTACAAAACTGTGATTAAAAGATAAACCATTTAGTAGATAGCTATACTTATTGGGTGTATATCGGAATAGCAATAATTTCACTAACTTCCTTTGGTATTAAGTTATCCGATGTAAGTTTTAATCTCAATTTAATGGATTAGTAAAAATATAAGCAACTATTTTATAGTGCCAATCAATATTCAATAGGGCAATGATATAAAACAAATATCGCAATAAACACTCTGACGTACATTAATAGAAGACAATGAAATTCGACATTATTTGGTCAAAATTAAATTACCTTAAATTTATGAATAAATGTAAAGAGTAAAAAGTAAATAATGTAACTCTGAATCAAAAATGATTTACCCTTATTAAAGATACCTCGGAAGTCATGACCGATATAAAAAGTGACAGGGGTTGCTAGGCGTATGATATTAATGCAATTCTTAAAAAAATCTACGTTTAATAGTATTCAAAAGAATTCAAAAGATATCAATTGACTAACAAACGTGACATTGAGGCGACTCTACAAGTGATTCAACTTTGTAGATTTTGGTATGGAGCAGTATTAATGATGTTCCTCAACGGAGTCCCACGCGAGCGAAGCCGCGGGTAAAAAGCTAGTAAGGTAATAAGTTATTTAGAGATAGCTCAATGCCTTTTATGTAAATATTAAATTTGTTTTTAATGCTTTATGACAAAAATTGTAAGTACTTATAGGTAAGTTATATAGTTTTAGATATCTAATAGAGGCTTTTTTTCATTAACGTCTTATTGCCATTGAGATTGAGATATTATGTACTTTGTACTAATAAAAGTCATGGATACTACAATAAAGTCTACTTTAATATTTATTGCTATTAACGTAAAAGTTACCTATTACTTTTTGTGTTATAAGTAGCTAAAATATAATGGACGAAATATTTGATTTGTGGAATGCAGTTTATGTGATATCTATTCATATATTTTTTTTATAATGTATAGGTAGTTTTAGTAGCAGTTGTAAGTAATTGTTAGCTATGTCCTACTATTTTATTGTAATATTTATTTCATTCCAATAAATTATTGCAATACGCCAGATGTATTATTTTTACATCAGAGTAACCGACATAGCCCGACGGATTATTAAGCTGAAGCGACATGGGCCTGGGCTCTGTCATACGAGGAGTGATCCAAAAGTAATGATAATCGGTTACTTCAGGTCCGCATAGAAATCCAAAAAAAATGTTTTTTGATTGCTCATATACTCACTACGTCAGCTTAAAAAAATCATATAAATAGATCACGATTTCCGGGAGATACATTCACAGTGAGTGAGTCCCCAGTCAGTGAGTGAGTCCAGTAGTGAGTCCGAGTCCGGATTCCGATCAGGTATCTTGCCGCGTTCGGTCGCCTGCGACCCAACAGTGAAGTGCAGTAGTTCGGTCGAGCCCATGCGCTCCCAGTGCGTTGTTACGAAGAAAGAAGACAAGGACATTTTTACAAGCGCGCGCGAGTGCTTCAGTGTCGTTGTGCTCCTTTACGGCCGCCAGGTACATCGGGCCGCCGGCCCATTGTTCTGTTGTGGTAGTGCTAGTTTTAGTGCCCCACGTTCTCCGGATTTCCAGTAAAAACTAAGTAGTTTATTGCACACCTGCTGCCTCAGAGGTAGCAATTCTATTGTTTAATTTCTGTGTTCGATTGTCGCATTAGGCGACAGCTAGGTACACACCCTAGCGTACCAACGCGCTAGTTGTATAAGTGTTCGTTTAGGCACACACCTCCCCCGCTCCTACGCGGGCCCCGACTTTGCCCACGCAAACCCTAATATTATTAATGAACTCCAAATAGTTCAAAACTTCTTCTGTCGTCGAGCTGCGAACGCACCTTGGTACGTCCGTAATGCCGACCTTCATCGGGAC